CAGTGAGGGCCACGGGCAGATTCAAATGAGACCTCGCCGTCCCTGCGGGGCTGCGATCTGTGAACCTGTCGCCACTTCGTTCGAAGGCCTGCCCCTGCCGGGGGGGCCCAGCACAGTGAACGCCCACGGCAGATTCAAATGAGACCTCGCCATCCCTGTGGGGGCTGCGGTTTGTAAACTGTCGCCATTTTCGAGGCCTGCTGGGGGGCTCAGCACAGTGAGGGCCACGGGCAGATTCAAATGAGACCTCGCCATCCATGGGGGGGCTGCGATCTGTGAAACTGTCGCCACTTTCGAGGCCTGCTGGGGGGCCCAGCACAGTTACGCCACGGGCATATTCAAACGAGACCTCGCCATCCATTGGGGGCTACGATCTGTGAAACCGTCGCCACTTTCGTGGCCTGCTGGGGGGCCCAGCGCAGTGACGCCACGGGCAGATTCAAATTATACCTCGCCATCCCCTGGAGGCTGCGATCTGTGAAACTGTCGCCATTTTCGAGGCCTGCTGGGGGGCCCAGCACAGTGACGCCACGCGCGGGCACAAATTAGACCTCGCCGTCCCTGCGTGGCTGCGATCTGTGAAACTGTCGCCACTTTCGAGGCCTGCTGTGATCTCCGTTTTCGAAGTGGCTAGGAGTGCTCAGGAATTGTAACTCACCAGCTTTATCAAGCCCTTTTCCTGTAGCCGGTGTCCTGCGAGTCTCCCGAATTCCGTCTGCAGACATACGTAACCCTCGCTCCGTCATCGCCCCCTTATAAAGTATCCTAAACTATTTGCGCCCCGCTTTTGCGCAGGGGTTGGGTACGTCGCCAGGGTATTTTTTTCCTCGATGGTTCAGGATGATCCTCCAGGGGCCTCGCCGAGAAAAAATACCCTGCGACGTACCCGACCCAATGGCATCAAGTGGCAAACGGAGTAGGGAAACATTCGCAGGAACCGTGACAGTGCAGGCGCGGCGATTTGTAGTGCGACCTACATGGGATGCGTAGTGTTGCACGACTCACAGAACAGCAATCGATAAGACGAGGAGTATGTCTCAAGGCTTGTTAAACAATAGCGGGGGCGGGAACGAGGGACAGGAGAAGGACGAACCCAGTAGGAAGGGGCGAGGAGCCATCGCAGCAGCAGCACCATGAATGCATAAGGTAACAGGAGGACTAGGGCGGCGATGATGAAAGAGGAGGGAGGAAACAAGAGACTGTTTCGTTTTTGCAGGAGCTCGGTCAACGCATGCCTGCTGCCTGTCCACAGGATCATACCTGTGTATATCTAGTGCAGGAAGCGATCGAGACCTAGCTCGCGCGCCAGCTTCTCTGCCTCCTTCCTGCATGTTGCAGTGCGGGAACTGAACTTCCGCAGTTTCTCCGCAAGGTCTGCCGGTGGGCCGCGGGCAAGAAAGTCAAGGCCGGGGTCGCGCACCATCAGTAGGTTATCTATCGTCGTCGCCCTGGACACCATCACGTAGAGGTGCAGCCACAGAGCGTCCAGGTCGTTCGCATCCTTGCACCCTGCGTCAACAATGACTCCGCGGTGCATGGTGCGGCCCTGGCAGGCAGTGGACGTCGGGACCTCGGCGTGGGAGATGACGAAGCCAGTGCGCGTGACCTTGTACTTGCGGAAGTCGAACGGGCTCGAGCTCTGTGGCTCGATGAAGACGAGGCCCGCTGCGTTCGCAGCGTCGATGCTGTCATCGAGCTCCGTGAGCTTCTTTCCGCAGGGACCACCCTTGTACTTGTCCATGCGCACCCACACGCCGTACGGCAGGTACCGCAGGTACGCCCGACCTCCCTCGGCCTTCGCTCTCTCCACCACGCCCTCATCCTTCGGGTTGATGGCCACGTGCACGACCTCGCCCTCGGCGTCTTTGACGAGCCCCTTGTCGAGGTCCAGGTGCTCCAGCAGGCGTATGCGCATGCCGTGGTCAAAATAACTGAGTGACAAGAGAGCCCGAGGGGCAACCTCACCTCTGAAACGACCCGCGTCAGTGGTGACAGTTTCCCAGAATGGCAGCCCCCCAGGGACGGCGAGGTCTAATCTGAATCTGGGTGGTGCCTCACTCCGCGGGACTGACCAGCAGCCTTCGAAAGTGGTGACAGTTTCACAGATCGCAGCACCCCCCAGGGATGGTGAGGTCTAATCTGAATCTGCGTGGTGCCTCACTCCGCTGGACCCACCAGCAGCCCTCGAAAGTGGTGACCGTTTCGCAGATCGCAGACCCCCAGGGATGGCGAGGTCTAGTCTGAATCTGCGTGGTGCCTCACTCCGCTGGACCCACCAGCAGCCCTCGAATGTGGCGACAGTTTCGCAGATCGCAGCCCCCCAGGGATGGCGAGGTCTAAATCCTGAAATCTGCTGGTGCCTCAACCCCGCTGGACCCACCAGCAGGCCTCGAATGTGGGACAGTTTTCGGCAACCAGCAACAGCCCTCGCTGGGCGTCAGTTCGCAGATCGCAGGCCCCCCAGGGATATGGCGAGGTCTAGCTAATCTGAAATCTGCGTGGTGCCTCACATCGTGGACCATCCGCTGGACTCACCCTCAGAACCATCGAATGTGCGAACAGTTTCGCATATCGCAGCCCCCCAAGATGGCGAGGGTCTAATCTGAAGCTGCTGGTGCCTCAACGTCCGCTGGACCCACCAGCAGCCCTCGAAAGTGTCGACAGTTTCGCAGATCGCAGCCCCCCAGGGACGGCGAGGTCTAATCTGAATCTGCGTGGTGCCTCACTCCGCTGGACCCACCAGCAGCCCTCGAAAGTGACGACAATTTCGCAGATCGCAGCCCCCCAGGGACGGCGAGGTCTAATCTGAATCTGCGTGGTGCCTCACTCCGCTGGACCCACCAGCAGCCCTCGAAACTGACGACAATTTCGCAGATCGCAAACCCCCAGGGATGGCGAGGTCTAATCTGAATCTGCGTGGTGCCTCACTCCGCTGGACCCACCAGCAGCCCTCGATAGTCGAGGTCTAATCTGAATCTGCGTGGTGCCTCACTCCGCTGGACCCACCAGCAGCCCTCGAAAGTGACGACAGTTTCGCAGATCGCAGCCCCCCAGGGATGGCGAGGTCTAATCTGAATCTGCGTGGTGCCTCACTCCGCTGGACCCACCAGCAGCCCTCGAAAGTGGTGACAGCTTCGCAGATCGCAGCCCCCCAGGGATGGCGAGGTCTAATCTGCATCTGCGTGGTGCCTCACCCCGCTGGACCCACCAGCAGCCCTCGAAAGTGGCGACAGTTTCACAGATCGCAGCCCCAAAGGGATGACGTAAAAGGCAAGAGAGAAGAGGAGGAGCGAAGAGTGGAGGAGAAGGGAAGCAAGAGAGGAGGAGCGAAGAGAGGAGAAGGGATGCAAGAGAGAAGAGGAGGAGCGAAGAGAGGCGGAGAAGGGAAGCAAGAGAGGAGAGGAAGAGGGAAGAGAGGAGGAGGAGGCGGGAAGGAAGGAAGGTGGAGACCGCAGTGCTCTATTCAAAACGAGTACCCAACGCAGGAGGGTTGGGAAACATACACATGGCCGAGCGATGCCAGGGGGCATCAGATCGGCGGTCCCCGAGGAGAGGGGTCGAACCCGTGCTGCCGGGCGAGCGCCGAAGCTCTTTTGGGTTTTTCGGTCTAGGCTCGAGGAGGGGGGGGGAGGGAGGAGGGGAGGGAGGGGGGAGGGGATAGAATGGGTGGGGGGGGGGGGGGAGGGGGAGGGAAAGGGGAGGGGAGAGAGGGGGGGGGGGGAGGGGAGAGGCAGAGGAAAGGGGAGGGGAGAGAGGGTAGGGAGGGGAGAGAGGAGGAGGGGAAGGAGGTTCGAGGAGGGGGGCGGGGGGGAGGGGAGGGAGGGGAGGGACAAGAGCCGGGTGCACTCGCGGCACATCTGGCATCCTGCCCCTCCAACCCATGCCTTCCCGTTGCGCCGTGGTTTCTCTATCCACCGACGCGGGTCACAGCGGAACTCCAAGATGACCCCATCACGTTTTGCGCAACCTGCAAAACAAAGGGGGCTGCGTACTTTGGGGGAGGAGGTGGCGGATGAGCAGGCGGATGGGCAGGAGGAAAAGTAGGAGGACGAGGACGACCAGCAGCAGCAGCAGGAGGAGCTGGAGTGGGAGGAGCGGGAGGAGCATGAGGACCCGGGGGAGGCGGAGGAGGGCAAACGAGGGGTGCGACAACGATGGAAAATTACTCGGATCCAGACCTGTGGCCTGCGCTGAGGCGAGACCGCCATTCTGAACGACGGGAGCAAAGCGCCGATCCGAAAACGAAACCCACGCTGCAGCGGGAACACCACTGTGAAAAACCGAAAACGATCGGATGGTAAACAAACATCTGGGAACGGCAACTTTTGAAATCATGTGTGCCAAATGGGCGCCCGGAGAGGGCCGACTATCTTCCGGACAGGAACAGGGGAGAGAGAGGGGAACAGTCTCCACAATGTGTAATTGTGGACGGAAGGGGGAGAATGGGGGAGGGGACAAACTGAGTGTACTCGCGTCGTATCTGGCATCCTACCCCACCAGGGAGCTGTGTACATTCGAGGAGGAGGAGCAGGAGGAGGAAGAGAGAGGAGGAGGAGGAGGAGGAGGAGGGAGGAGGAGGAGGAGGCGAGGAGGAGGGTAGGAAGAGGAAGAGGAGGAGGGGGAGGAGGGAGGAAGAGGAGGAGGGGAGGATGGGGGAGGAGGAAGGAGGAGGACGACGAGGAACAGCAAGGGCAGCAGCATGATTCGAGGAGCGGGAGGAGCAGGGGGACCAGGGAAACGCGGAGAAGGGAACAAAGAGTGGCGGGGCGACGACGACGACGAGGAAGGACTCGGATCTAGACCCGTGGCCCGCGCTGGGGCGAGACCGCCATTCGGAACGACTGGTGCAAATCGCCGATCCTAAAACGAGACCAACGGGAAGGAGGTGAGGAGGGGGCGGAGGGAGATTCGGGGGGACCGCGGGGTCCACCACGTCCGCGGGCGGCAGGAACCAGGAGGATGAGGGCGTGTGGGAGGATACAGGGTACAAGGGAAAGAGATTAGGGCCAAACGCACAACTGCACGAGGGGGGACCCGCCACGGAAAAAATGGGACTGAGAGGTTGCAGGCGTGCCGTACGAGCCACCAAGACCATGCACGGGTCACAGGAGGCCAAGGAAAACGATAGGAGGAGGAGGGGTAGGAGTAGGACGAGGAGAAGGACGGGGACAAGGAGGAGGAGCAGGAGGAATGACGAACGTGGAGTGAAATGAGGAGGCAGAGGAGGAGGAGGAGGAGGAGGAGGAGGAGGGGGAGGAGGAGGCGGAGGAGGAGGAAGAGGAGGAGGAGGTGGAGGAAGAGGAGGAGGACCAGGAGGAGGAGGACGAGCAGGAGGAGGAGGAGGAGCAATAGCAATCCCTCCGACCAACTCCAACTCCTCCGCCTCATCTTGCCTGTCGTCGTCACTTTCTTCGACTGCCATTTTCCTGCTTCCTTCTAGAAGAACAGCAAAAGGCATACACATAAGCTCTCGGAGGTCCACGAAGATTTCTTGGGTCGGCGCTGGATCACTCCTCTCTGGCACGCGTAGCGCGCCAAGCCCATCGCCGACCAAAGAAATCCTCGCGGACCGCTGAACATTGCGTCTGTGCCGTCCTCGTTCTGTTGCTCGATGCTCCCCCTCCCCAGAAATCTAACGTCTAACGTTTTGTTTGTTTTGTGTTTTGTTCGTTTGTTTGTTGTTTTCGTTCTCGTTTGTTTGACAGTTGTTTGTTGTATGCTCACATGCTTATCTTTTCTCTGGTACAGAGAACAACGTGGACCTCTGGAGGTCTGGATCTCCTCCCCGTGACCAGTTTTTCATCACGAGTCGTGCTGTAACGGTCCTGGGGCCTGGTGAGGGCCCCTGGAGGCGGAGAACCACCAAACACCTCCCCTCGTGTTTCTTCCTCGGCGCGACGACGCAGTGGGGCCCTCCTGCGTCGGGGACGAAGATGCCGTCCATCGTGTCCGCGAACGTCTTCCAGCTGGTGGAGATGGCGCCCTTGGCGCCGCGCAGCCGGCTCTCCCAGAAGGAGGCCGCCAGCGGCTTGAGGTCGGTGGTCTCGCCCGGCCCGCCGCCGAAGAGGAGCGGAGGATAAGCAGGAAGGGCGACGAGGAGGGAGGAGGGAGGAGGAGGAGGAGGAGGAGGAGGAGGATAATCAAGAAGGACGTCGAGTAGGGAGGAGGGAGGAGGAGGAGGAGGACGAGGAGGAAGGACTTGTGCAAACCCAAGACTCATCAACGATGTTGCCACAAACCCTCCCTCCAGATTTCCTCTCCATAGGTCCCTACAGAACTTTAGCGGAAAATGCCTCAATGGAAGACAACTGTCTGAAACTCGTCAACCGTGGCAAAGCATCATGCCCGGGACTCAAGGTCGCCGCGAATCAACGTGACTGCTGCGTCTTGCCGATCCTGAGTCGCGCCAGAATCACATTCGTGGGACTTCAACACTGCAAATCTTCGCTACTTTCGCGCCCCGACAGTGATGGATCGTAGCAAATCACAATTTCTGGGACGTCAACCGTGAGAATCCTCGAAACTGCTGTTGACTGTTACGACAAATCTCGCCCGGGCGACTCCAACGTAGGACCCGTGGGGGGCCATCCGGAAAGAAAACAATCCTGGGGCGCGCCGAAGAACTCAGGGGGTCCGGTTTCTTTGGGAGACACAGCGAAAGCCTTGGCGTGGGGTTCGGGCAGGGGGTTATCGGGGATGGACAGACCCCCCTTTAGTAAAACGTGGTTTAGTGAAAACGACCTGCGGCCCAAACCTGGCGGGCGCAAGCCTGGAAAATAACGGCCACGGCGCCCTCTCGAGAACCGAAAACGGACAATTCACTAATCGACGTGTCACTGCTGGGGGTTCTGTCCACCCCCGAGGTTAACCCTGCCTAAAACTCCGGCAGAGGAGTCAACTTTCAGCTGCGGAGGGGTGCTGGCGCGTGGGGTGCCACCCCCACCCCAGCGCAGCCAGAGGAGGAAAAGCGCGAGAGCGCAGATGGGCAACGTAATCCAGCATCACTCTCATAGTAAAAACACTAAGGAGCTGTATTAGTATTTAAACCACGATGCAGTGTGTCCTATTTCCGAAAGCGACAATATATCTTCTTCCCTTAATCGCGATTCTACTCTGCTTCCGTGCTCCCAAGTCGCGATCCTATAGCGTTTCCGTATTCCTAAGTCACGACCTTATACTGCTTCCTCGAATGCTTTAACCGCTATTCGATAAGACTAGCTGTGCTGCAGGACCAGGTGCGCTCTAGGAGCAGCTGCGCGCTAGCAAATGATGGTACCAATTGTACTCAAGTGCTAGCTAGGTGTACTGTGGCCAGAGTGGTTCCAGGGTTCCGGTGGCAATTCGCGCGCGGAAGAAGGAACAACATCCATGTACCGCCAGGGGTCCTGGGTTTAACGGGTCGCCGCGAATGTGCACCCCCCCCGCGGAAGGAAGAAAAGAAATCCAGCCGGGGGGGCTGGGGGGGTCAGGCATGAATCGCGGGGGCGATGGACGAATGTGCGTGGCGCCAAAGCGAGAAACACATTTTGAAAACGATCCGCCCTCCTTCCGTGAAGCTCTTGCGAACTTTGAAAACACATGTGCGCGGCGCTGAAGCGAGACCCACATTTTGAAAACCATCCGACCTCCATCCGTGAAGCTCTTGCAACTTCCAGGCTTCAGGATCGTACGTTGTAAGGAAGTCTCTGGCGAAACGCCCAGCCCTCCCTGCCGACCCGTCGCGGGGTGTGACAAGAGGAGTTATTTACAAGCAAGAGGGATTAATCAAAGAGGAGGAGGAGGAGGAGGAGGAGGAGGAGGAGGAGGAGGAAGAGGAGGAGGAGGAGGAGGGATTGATCAAAGAGGAGGAGGAAGAGGAGGAGGAGGAGGAGGAGGAGGAGGAGGAGGTGGCGCCCGCCGGGGGGGCTCGCCACGCCGTCGGAGAACGCCTGCTCCTCGGCGCGGGGGGACCTGGGTCTCTGGTGGACAGGGGCTCTGGACCCTGGGGCCTTTCTGCAATACATTTCTTCGTTTCCATCCAGGAGGGGGGGATTGCAGAGGGGGGAGAAGGGTAGCGAATAAGCTGCTGCACGCGGCTGCTTTCCCGAGCGCCTCACCGCGCCGGGGCGCGCCCATGCATCGAAGACAGCGCCCAACGGCAGCAACCTTCGTACTCGACATCCTCCCCTTCCAAATCCCCCCCCCTGTCGTCTGACCGTGGAACAACTGGCGGCGCGCACAAGGGGGTCATGGGGGAGGGGGGAAGGCCTCTTGGGAGGCTGCTTCTAAGAGCACCCCCCTCTCCCCCATGACCCCCGTGTGCGCGTGGCCCGAATCAGCGCCCCTCAAACGGGGACTCCACTAACGGGTACTTTGGCCACTGACCCAGCGAACCCAACCCTTCCCGATGTGGGCAAAGCTGCAATGCAAGAAAAAAGCCCTAAAGTGGCAACTTTCGGCAAAATTTCAAAGTACCCGTTAGTAAGTACCCGTTACGGTGCCGTTGACCGAAAAAGGGGACCCAGGAGCCGGACGGCAGCGAAAGCCCTCTGGGACCCCCTCTCTCCAGGGCCTGGGCTTCCCTTCCTGCGCACTCCTCCGGCGGGCCCCCGCCGGCCGGCCCGGCACCGTAGGCGACGATGCCCAGGTCCTTCGCGGAGAGCTGTGGCCGCCGCCGCCGCGTGAGCTCGCCGCCGCCGTCATCGCAGGCGACGCCGTCCCCCAAAGATCTGACGTCTTGATTCTTGGAGTGCGGGGTCCCCTGGCACTGCAATCTGGACCAGTTCCGGGCACTGGTCTCTGGTCCCAGATCGGTCTTCGACGGCCCCAGGGCCCAGCGAGGGCTTCAAGCCGCCGCATGCGGCGAACAAAACACCGTTTTGCGTGCTCGGACCTTCGAACGTTCGTGTTTCTGCAATTTCCAGTTCCCCGATTTTCCAATGCGTGGGAGTTCAATGTCGCGCTTTGGGCCCCATAACGCGACGCCTTATATATAAATATGTGTGTGTATATATATATATGTATATTAAAAAAAAACGCGACGCCCAAGCGCTGCCGCCGCCGCGGTCGCCGGGTCCTTCGCGGTGAGCTGCGGGCGACCCGCCGCGCTGTCGGCTGTGGCCAACTCGGGCTGCGGCCGTGGCATCGCGCCCCACAACGGCAACCGCTGTGCGGCTTGGCCGTCCACGGGCGGCGAGGGCCCGCCGTAGCCGCCCGACGCCATGTCGGCAGCCCCCAGGCCACTGGCGCCCGCCTGGCACCGCAGTGCCAGGAGGGCTGATGATGGTGATGCCGATGTTGCTGATGATGCTGATGATGATGATGCTGATGATGGTGATGGTGATGGTGACGATGATGATGGTAATGATGCTGATGGTGCAGATGCTGTTGCTGATGCTGGTGGCTGTGCCGATGCCGATCTCGATGACGACTATGATGATGATGTTACTGCTGATGATGATGCTGATTTTGATGGTGATGCTGATGATGGTGGTAATGTTAGTGGCAATGGTGATCACGATGCTGATGATGTGATGATGATGGTGATGGTGATGATGATGATGATGATGATGATGATGATGTTGATGATGTTGATGATGATGCTGGCTGTGACGCTGATGCGGAAGAGGGGCAGGATTATCAGGAGGAAGAAGAGAAATAAACTGAATATGGGGAGGAGGAGGAAGAGGAAGAGGAGAAGGAGGAGGAGAAGGAGGCCAATTCTGGCCCCTGCGGGAAGCTTCTGTCCACCACCTGCGGGGGAACGGTCTGGCCCGAGCGCGCTGTCCGCCGCGCGGCGGGCGGCGCGTCGTGCGATACGTTCGCCACCAAAATTTTCACGACCCACGTAACATTCAATACGATCCACGGGCGCATCACCAAGACCAGCGTGATATACATGGAATATGCACGCGGGCAGCATTAATATAAACGTGACACACGTAGATCACAATAGAAGCCAAAACTCACGATATGTACCCACGCACTGTGGATATTCACCAGCAGCTATGCAGATGCCAAGTAAGATAGCCAGTTGCTGAGCTACGAGCACCACAAGCAGACCTGCCATGGCCACCAGCCAACCAAAAATGAGGATACAAGAAGGGAAACGACTTTTTCCGTAAGCGGGTGTATAGCGTAAAAACGAAGTCTTCCTGTGTAAAGCGATGTAAAGCGGGCGCGGTAAAAAGGGTCCTTGAGATCCAAAGCGGCAGCGGCAAGGACAGGGTGAGAAGCAGGCACGGCAGGATGACATACCCGTCGAGTCCGGTGCACAAGCGAGTCCGTCGTGCTTTATCATCAAGCATGCAACTGCAGAAAAGGGCGCTACTGACCGCCCTCCCCACGAAAAGTAGCCTGGCCACAAGGGGGCAAATTCGCCTGAATTCGACAGATTCCTGGGTTGGCGGACTTCACTCCGTCCCAACGGCACATTGACCCCCTCGGCGCCAACCGCAATGACGTTTTACGGCGCCACTGGTAGGGGTGGAAATACTCGCGCCAGAGCCCGCGGGAGCCGAATCAGGCGAATCTGTCCCTTCCACCTGGTAAACTGCGAGACTATTCAGAGCCACCTGCTAATGCAACCGCGAGCTGGCTGGACGCAGTACGAGCAAACCCGCTCACTTGGATGCTCTACTCGTCAATCTCGCATGTGGGTGCCTGCGTGTGTTGGAGCACGCATCCCGCCCCCCATGAGCCAATGCGGGGCTTGGAAGTATATCCGCTTTCCGATTCTGACACAGCCGCAGGAGTCATCTTCTTATTTCCGCGAGAGTGAGCCCTGCTGTGGGGTCGGGTTGGCCTTCCTCAGCTTCTCGTCGCTGAACTTGACCGTGGCGTGTTCGTAGCTAATCTGGCCGTCCATCGCGCTGAGGATTAGCTCTCGGCCCATGCTGCCCTTGGTCACGGGGTCGGCCCGCGTGTCCCGAGTGTCGCACCAGTGCAAATCGTCGATCTGCTTGGTGCGCAGCTGGTCGGCTAACCACCGCTCGTGGTCAGCCATGCTGTTCTCGGACGGCGGCCGGACCGGGTCCATGTGCAGGGCGCTGAAGACGGACATGTCGTCTATGACGAAGTCAGCAGGGATCGCGTGACCTCGTTGCTCCCTCAGCCTCATGATCTCCTCGGCAGAGGAAGGGCCCTGCGCCGTCTCGCGCAGCGAGAGGACATGCGCCTGCAGACCGCCTGCGGCGCCACGTGCCGCGAGCAGCTCGGAGCCGAATGAGGATCGGCACAAGCTTGTGCGATCGGCTCACAGCGTCCGGCAGGTGGCGCACTTGTTTGCCAGTGCGGCGGCAGTTGCTGAGACGCATGTACACGGCTCCTCTCATGCCGTATCCTGACTCCTCCTCCCCTTGTGAGACCTGTCGCTGTGCGCGCCGAGTCGCCCGGCGCACTCCGTTGATGGAAATGTGCGGCGTGCCTTGATCTTCTGCGTGGCCAGAACAACAGAGTGGAGCTGCATCACGTGTCAGATGCGCAGCTGGTTGTTGGCTCTCTGCAGGGCGACGATGCACGCTGCGACGTGGTGCTGGGCGAGCAGTGCGTAGGCCGGTGCGTCCAGGTGGGAGACAAAGAGGTCGGGAAGCTGACATCCGGCCGGCTCGTCAGCGTCGGCCCTGGCCAGGACGACGTGTCTGATCGGTGTCAGAGCGTCGATGTACTCGTCCTTGTCGAGTGTCACGGTGCCATCGGCACTGCGGTGCTGGTGCACTCCGCAGTTGGTGAAGTCGTCGCAGTCGCCCATCATCTTGCCGACGTGCTCTTGCGCCCAACGATCTCAAGATCGCCAGCGCGCTTAGACAACGTGAGCACTAGCTCCGAGACGCCAGCAGCAAAGCTGCTTGACGTCGCGTGCTTGACCTCGAGCTCCGGGCCCCACCTGGTAGGTTTGGCGTTGCGCTCAGGTGAGCGCGTGGTCGGGGCGAGCTTCATGGACAAGGCTCAGTGCGCATCCTGGCCGCCCGTGCCCAGCTTGATGCAGCGCATGCGCTCGGTCCGCTCGTTGAAATTCTCGTAGCCGGGCACCTGCCTGAGGATAGCTGCACTGCCGGGCGGCAGGGTGAGGCTCACCTCTCGAAGTGTTTCGCCTTGCCACTGCATCTATGCATAGGTCATGCCTCGCAGAAGCGCCTTCTCGACGTCAACGGCGACGTGCGCCCAGTCGGGGCGACGCGCCGTCTCTGAGGATAGTAGCCGCTGAGACGCCCGCTTCGCTGTCCCAGCGAACGTCTCAAGGGCTCCGGCGTCCGTGTCGCGGAGGCCCTCCAGCGTTTGCGGCACCGGATGATCATGACAATTTTGCCGTCTGATCCTTTCCGGTGCGGTCACTTGAAGACATGTCTGGAGACCATTACGTCTCGGGCGCCTTTGGGCGGCCGCCGCTCGAAACATACGTACTTGACCCAGATGGTGAGCTCCTCGAGGATGGCTGCTGCGACCTCCTTCGACAGCCTCGGCGCGGCCTCGCTTGACTGAAAGTCGGCGTTGCGCTTGATGACCGCGGTCTTGGCGGCGGCATACATGTGGATCGCAGCTGTCTCAAGAGCGCCGGCAACACAGTCGCCGGACGCCTCGGTGAAGCTCAGCAATGCTTCGCGCACCCCTGCGTCAAGATACAACTCCACATGTCTACCTGCATCGTCCTCATCCTCTAGCGTGGCGTAGCGGTCCAAGGAGGCCCCGCGCAAGTAGTGCTGGCACTGCGCGTGGATGCGACGATGGTGTTGCGTTTCGAAGTGCTGGGGCCACTCCTGTGGCCTACGGCCTAGGTTGGCCGCGGCGTGCTCGGCTGTCGGCGCTCTCCAGCCCCTGAGCTGCGAGGACCACAGGCACAGCTACGAGTGCCACCGGCAGAGCTACGAGGACTGCATGCTGTGCTACGAGGGCCACAAACAGGGCTGCGGGGGCTACTGGCTGAGCTACCTGGGCCACCAGATGAGCCACGACGGCCACCAGCAGAGCTGCGAGGGCCACCTGCAGAACCCCGTGGACCACCAGCTGAGATACGAGGGCATCCAGTGGAACCACGACTGCTACCAGCACAGCGTCTATCTCACGATACCAACGAGACTACGAGGCGTACCCGCGGAAGCCACGGCCCCTTATCTACAACACGGACCACTCGGGTTACAATTGCATTTTTTCAACCTTGAAGCTTTTGTCGCTACCTCGTCTCTAACGTTACCGACAAGGTGCGCCATGTGCACCGCTACAGGCAGTGCACTACGTCACCCGTAACCGCTATGACATCCCTTGAGTGGCCCCGCCGCTCAACCCATACCTTCTCCCTTCCTTCTCTTTGAAGATCTTTTGTGCTGGGATCCTCAAATCGCGGATCTCCGCCTCTGGCTCCTGTCCACGGCGTTCCTTTTCCTGTGCAAGCTCCGCGGCACCGCCTGCACCCCGGCCCGCCTTCCGGCCGCCTGAGGCCCCGCCCGCCTGTGCCCTGTCTCCCCAATTAGAGCTGTCCGTAGCCCGCCTAGCTTTTACCGGAAGCGGTTCGCTCTCGCCCCGCAGACCAAAAAACGTGCTGGTATCCACCCTCCCCATCCCCCCCCTCGGGAAACCAAAAACGACCCACGGCGGCGCCCGTGGTCCCCAACACCGCGTAGCCGGCGCCTCCTGCGGCGTGCGGCGGGCGCGGCGGCGGAAGGGGACCCTGCTCAGCGGCTGCGGAGAGGAGGAGGAGGAGGAGGAGGAGGAGGAGGAGGAGGAGGAGGAGGAGGAGGAGGAGGCGGAGGAGGAGGAGGAGGAGAAGGAGAAAGATGAGAAGAAAAGAAGAGGAGGAGGAGGAGGAGGATAATGGGGAGGACGAGGGAGGAAAGAAGAGGAGGAGGAGGAGGAGGAGGAGGAGGAGGAGGAGGAGGAGGAGCTGAAGCAGCGGGGTCATCCGACGGAATGCCAAAGAGAGGATGAGGAGGATGAGGATGAGGATGAGGAAGAGGATGAGGAGGAGGAGGATGATAAGGAGGAGGAGGAGGAGGAGGAAAAACACCTCTATTCGTGTACCTATTGATCAAATTAAAACTGATGGTCACACAATGCACCGAATCTCAAGCGGGAACCTCAATTTGAAAAGGATTCGCCCACGACGCGCCGTCCATCCGTGAGGCTGTCGAATTGTCCCATCTCCTCAGCATGTGGTTCTTGCTATTCGTGTGGTGCCTTCGCCTTTTTCCTCCCTCCCGTTTCCCTCCTCGTATAGATTCCTCACACTTAGACTCGCTCATGATCACCCTCACTCATCCTCAGACTCACTCACGCTCATCCTCACTTGTGGTCAGATGCACTCATACGCAGCTAAGTCATACCCAGACTCAAACGCACGGACCGCTCACACTCAGGCTCACTCATGCTCAGCCGCACTCACACGCAGACTCACCGACACTGAATCTTGTATACTCCGACCCTCTAATCTTACTCAGACTCACCCATGCCCATGACCTGCATATACATATCATTTCGCACTCTGTCTTCCATGACCACCGCGATGTAGAAGTGACCACGAAAGTCTTGGGGCCTCTTGTGGGCCTCCTGGGATCTCGTCGAGGCTTTCCTGGACCATCTCTGAAAACTTCCCAGCCTTTTTGGGGAAACTCTTTACGCCCTCTTGGGCCGCCGATTCCAAAAATATTCCGATCCCCCCGCTGGTCGGCCGCCTCTCATGTCAATCCATACGAGAAAATCTTTGGGCTCCCACACTCTACTTGCTGGGGCTGGCCCACACCTGGAAAAAGGTTGCTCTAGCCCCCCTGGCCCTTGGTGGGATGGTAAGGGCGCGCGCCTCCCGCATGGCGTCCGCCGCGGTCAGGGGCGGCGGCACCATATGCTCGGGAGCTCCTGGGCCGCCACACCCAACATCCTGCATGATGTCCGCCGCCGTCAGCGGCGGTAGGTCGTCATCGTCCGGCCAGCCAGCACTAGCTTCCCGCAATAGATCCGCCGCTGACATTGGCGGCGACGCCGCATGGTCGGCAGTTCCTGGGCAGCTGGTGCCAGCCTCCCGCGGCGGCACATGGTCGGCAACTCCTAGACTGCCAGCACCATCCGCCCGCATGAGGTCCGCCGCGGTCAGCGGCGGTGGCCCCATGCTGTCGGCATCTCTTGGGTCACCGGCGCCAGCCGTCCGCATGAGGTCCGCTGCCGTGAGCGGCGGCGGCGCCATGGGGCCAACGGCTGCTGGTCCGCTGACGCCAGCCCCCCGCATGAGGTCCGCCGCTGTCAGCGGCGGCGCAGCGGGGTCGCCGTGGAACGCGCCGGGCGGCCCCGGCGGCGCGCCAGGAGGGCCGCGCAGCGCGGCCCCGGGTGCGCCAGGATGCGGCCGCCCAGGCGGCGGAGGACCGTGGCCGGCGCGGCCTTCGTGAGAGAAGATTGCCCTCGCGTACGAATTGCCCATGTCTGTCACGGCGCCGGCGCCGCCGAACGCTCCACACTCCGCCGCCGTGGGCCTGGGCCGGGCCGCCCCGGCGCTGGCCAGGGCGGGCTCCTGCTGCCGTTGCTGCCACTGGTGCGCAGGGGGCGCCGGAGCGAGGCCCGCCCCTGCCTCGCAGCCGAGCTCGGCCGCCCGCGGCTGCCATGCCGGGTGGTTGTCTGCAGCGGGCAGCGGTGACGGCCTCGGGCAGCCTGGGCCCAGCGTAAGCCGGTCGGCTTCGCCTCCGAGCGCGGCGGTCTGCGGCTGTTGGTTCGCCAGAGCACCCGGTTGCCCAGCGGCGGCCTGCTCACCCGCGGCGGCCGGCGGCACGTCTTCCGGAAAGACCGCCTCGGCCTGCAAGTCCCCGCCGCCGCCGCGGGGCCCGCTGGGCACCTCGCGCCAGACGCGGTCCGCGAGCGTGGCGGTTGGGGCGGCGGCAGCCTCCGCTTCCTGCGCCGGGGGCCTGCCGCTGAGCGTGTCCCTCAGGAGGTCGAGGCCGCTCATCATCGCCTCCAGCTCCTCGCTGATGGAGCTCTTCGGCTCCTTCTCCTCCTCCTCCTCCTCCTCCTCCTCAGCCGAGGCTGGCGGCGCCCACGTCGAGTCCTTCTGCGACGGCGCACACGCGTCCACCGCGGGCGGGCCTCCGTAGGCTGGCGTGGCTGGCGGCGCCCGGTCATCCGGCAAGCCCCCCTGCGGGGGCGCCCAGACATCCGCCGCGGGCGGGCCTCCGCAGGCAGGCATGGCGGGCTGCGCCCAGACATCCGCCGCGGGCGGGTCGCCGAGGCCCTCGGCCGACAACTCCGTCGCAGCGGCGGTTGTGGGCGCGCTACCCGACGGCGGGCGTCCCATGTCTGGCGACTGCCCGCCGTCGGAGCCGAGGGTGGCAAAGGACTGGCTGAGGCTGCTCAGCTGCTGCGCCAGCAGCTGCAGCTCGCTCAGCGGCTCCTCTGGCGGCGGCGGTGGCTCCGGCGCCGGAGGTGGCGCCGCGCCCGGCGCGGGCGGGTGTGGCTCAGATGGCGCCTGCGCGGGCGCGGCGGGCGGCCGCAGCCCCGCGCCCGCCGATCCGCCCGCGTCGCGCCCCTCCAGCTCGGGGAACGCCTCGGAGGGCACGGCGGCGCGCGCCGCCGGCGAGAGGCCGCGAGGCGGCGCGTAGTGCGCCTGCTGGTCCGCGGGCGGCAGGCGCGTGTGCTGCGGCGGAGAGGGCGGCGGCGGGGCCTGCGGCCCGCCTCGGGCGTCGGCGCCGTGGCGCGGCAGCGGCAGCGCTTGGGAACCGCTGTCTGGCGGGGCGGCGATTGGCACGCCCAGCGCGACGCAGCGGCTCTCCAGCTCACGCTCTACCTGAGTCAGCACGCTGGCCACGTAGCCGCGAAAGTCTACAGCGTTGATGCCCTCGCTCTGCCCGGAGAAGCTCTTGTAGATCGCCGGAAGACACACAGACAGCAGCACAGTCACGTGCTTTTGGAGCTCCGCGCGGGCTTCTGGGGTCGCCGCTGGGCCGCCCTCCCCACGTCCCTTCCCTGCACGCCGAGCGCGCTGGGGGCGGCGCCGCCAAGGGTGCTGGGGAGAGGGGCTCAGCGCCGACCCGGGAACTCCGCCAGGGACCTCCGAAGCGTCTCTGCCTGCGTCGCTCTGTGGTCTTCCGATGGTGGTGACCCTCTCCAGCGTGGCCGGGTGCCGGCAGCCGAGCCGGTCGATGAGGTACTGCGTCACCCTGCGCAGCTCGCCGGGGTGAATCCGCGGGCCCTCCGCGCCCGCGCGGGCCCCCTCCAGGGCCGGCATCAGGCGGTCGCACTCCTGGAGCGGCCGGGGGGCAGCCGTGCCCTGGACCCCTGCGAGCTCCGGAGCTCTTTGCCCGTCCTCCACAGCTACCCACCACGAATACTACTCTCCTCTCTCCCCTGACTTCGTCCAGGAGAGACCTGGTCCTCTCCGCGTCCCGTCTTTTTGCGCCCGGGATTTCACAAATTCTGCTTCTCCATGCGTGCGCAATCCGTTTGTCTTCGCCGTTTCAGCATGGTTATCCCGCTCCCGTCGTTCAGAAAGGCGCTCTCGCCCCAGCGCGGGCCACGTTTCAGGATCCGAGTTCTTTGTCACCGCTGTCGCCCCCCCCTCATTTGCCCTTCTCCGCCTTCCCCCGGTCCTCCCACTCCTCCCGCTCCTTCCTCTCCAGTTCTGCTGCTGCTGTTCGTCCTCGCCCTCCTCCTTCCTCATCCTCCTGCTCATCCTTCTGCTCACGTGCCTCCTCCTCCTCCTTCTCCTCCTCGTGGTCGTCGTGGTCGTCGTCGTCGCGTCGGAAATGATGTTTCTTCTATTGTTGGGCGGGCCGGACAATGTTGGAGGCTCTTTCCTCCAGGGAAGATTTCAGTGCGGGCTACCCTACACGCGAGAGTATGTGTGATCATCTTCTCATGAGGATTGCAACATGTATCACCGGTTGTGGTTGTAGTTGTATTGTAATCGTGATTGTAGTCGCGATGGCAGTCGTAATCGTAGTCGTGGTTGTAGTCGCAGCCGTGGTCGTCGTCGCAAGAGAGACTATTACCCCTCTGTTCTAGGGTGGGCTGGACAATGTTCAGAGTATCTTTCTCCCAGGGAATAATCCAGTGCGGGCTACCCTACACGCGAGAGGACTTGTGAGTCTGCTCATGAGGATTGCGATACGCATCGGTGGGTGGTTGTGCTTGTAGTCGTGATTGTAGTCGTGGTTGTAATCGCGGTTGTAATCGTGATTGTAGTCGTAATCGTAGCCGTGGTTGTAGTCGCAATCGTCGTTGTCGTCGTCGTCGTTGTTGCGCGGCGGGCGCCGCGGAGAAAAACAAATTGCGCTATTGGTGGGACACCAATATGTCAAGAAAGGCGCCGAAATTAGAATTCGTTTCCACTGTGGGGGGGTTCTAAAAGCCCATCTCGGTTGTTGTTTGGATCCCCAGAATGTGTAACAGAAACGGCGCCCTCCGCCCGTCCGGCCCATCTGTGAAGGTCCGCCAGACCGACTCACCTGTTAGGGTAGCCCGCCCGCCCGAATCAGTGTTCCGCCTGCCAGGGCCGCCCGTGAGGCTCCGCCCGCAGGCCACGAGGTCCGCCCTTTCGTTTGCCTGGAAGCCCGCCCGCCCACTTCAGTGTCCCGCCCCGCTCGACCCGCCCGTTAGGGTCCGCCCGCATGGGCTGTCCGCTGAACTGGCCCGCGCGTTCGTTTGCTAAGGAGCCCGCCCGCCCGCCCGCCTTGATGTCCCGCCGCCCGCCTGGCCCGCCCATTAGGGGCCGTCTGCCTGACCCCCCCCTTCGGATCCGCCCGCCCGAACCGCCCGGTCGGGTCCGCCCACACGATCCGCCTCTCTTACCCTCTCGGGGTTTTCCCAGCAGCTGGCATTGCAACGGTGCCACCCCAAAAGCGGGCACTCTCATAGACGAACAGGGCGGGCGCCGAGGGCTTGTGTACCTGCAAGTTTAGTGACACGCGAACGATGAAGACCGAACTGTCTGAAAGTTATTGCTATTGTTACTGGCGAGACTTTCGAGAATCTGGGAAAGTTGCGACACCATTGTTATACATGTTCTTCCAAGCCGGACCTGTCCATGAGCCCGAGGGCCCGAAACGGGGCACGAACGTTTGTCGCATTGGTTCTCGATGTCGGGGTTTCGGGGATGATGTTGGGGAACACCATGATGCTGACAATGATACCGTTACTCCCAAGGCCTCTCCTGGAGTACGTTCTTAACAGGATCCCAAGGGGAATCCAGCCTTGGCGACGAGGGCTCCCTCCCGGGAGATCCAACAGGGCGAAAGCTAGGGCAAGGCACCTCGTGTGTGTGTGTGTGTGTGTGTATGTGTGAATGCGTGTGCGTGCGTGCGTGCGTGTGCGTGCGTGTGTGTGTGTGTGTGTGTGTGTGTGCGTGTGTGTGTGTGTGTTGCAAATCCCTCTATTTTTCTTCGATCTGCAACGTGAGGGCTTTGTGCAATTGTATGTGTGTACGTCGTTATATCAAGTGTGCATATGACGTATCTATTCTTACGCACTTGTGTGTTCAAATTTGTATATATATATATAAGTGGGCGGTAACCGATGAGGTGGTCACATCTTGCGATTCGACGAACCGTTGAGAAGCACCTCTGTGGGCATGGCTCAGCGCATGTGCAGCAAATTTGAAGACACACAATGGGAACCCACCAACAACTGTGCTTTTCAAGTAATTGTGTGCACAACAGTCACTGACTCCGATTGTGTTGTTTGGCAACTGACTTATACAGTGCTCAAAGAATTCACAATGAAATCATTGAACATCCACTTGCTTTCCAACCAACATTTGCAACCGTGTTCAACATGTTTGTGGCTGGACCGTTTTATGTTACAATGATGAAGGTGCGTTCTGCTTTGGACCCTGATGTCGCGATCTGCGTGAAGGGTGCGCCCAGATTTCATACTTTCGAAAGGGTCCCGCGCGAAACGGCCAGGCAATTTGTTCACAGACGACACAGTGCTTGCCTCAGAGCTCTACTCCCTCGGAGACGCGCGTATGCTGTGTATGTGATACACATGTACATACAAGTGGCGCATGCGTGCCCATGCTCACACAAAAAAGCAATTGGGGGTCATCTATAGGGTTGCCACAGGTTGCGACTAGACAAACTGGTGAGATGCACAGCTGTGGGTGTAAACAACAAACAAGTTAGAGCAACGTTGGAGAATTACGCTGGGAAGCATCGATGAACTGTGGTTTTCCAGTAGTTGTGCGCAACGTCACTGAATATTACGTTGTGCCTTGGGCAGCTTTACCACAGCATGCTGAGTAACTGAAAAGGAAGCAAGTGAAACAAGCACTGGCTTCTATCAATTACGCCCAACACCGTTGAACCGCGTTCTCTATTTGAGTATTTTGCGTTCGAGTGCGGGGGGCGCACTATGTGTTTTTGGACCCTGACGTCGCGATTTGCGTGAGGAGCGCGTCCAATTTACATGATTTGGAAGTTGTCCCGAACGAAATGGCCAGGCAATTCGCGGGCAACACAATAATCGCCTCTGAACTCGACTCGCTCAGAGAAGTGCGTGTGATAATACGTGTCTCTCTTTCTCTCTCTCTTCTGAGGACGATGGGCCCCGACGTCTGGGTCCTCATTCACAAACCGACCCCCGGATCTGTCCGGGGACGGGCTTTGACCAAGATCTCAAGAGAAACCCATCCGTGGGGCCCCCCCCCGATGCTCAGAAAAGCCAGAAGTCGTCCGAAAACCTGCGACCTCGATCTTCTTCCGCCTCCCGCCCTAAATCGGTCTCCAGATCCCTCCCGGGCTCCATAACTGCCGGTCTTTCACGTCAGATCGACTCTGACAGCCCCGGGGCCTGAAACGACACGCCGAAACTGGCGAGATACCTGCACGAACCTGCTCGTCGCCGCCGCCGCCCCCTCCCATCCACCCCGAAAGAACTCCTCGAACCCCCTTGAACAATCTCCTCCGGTGGGGTTGGCTGGAGGCCACAGGCAACGCTGCCGGAAGTTCCAGGAAGGTGCAACGACCACACACGTCTGTGAGGCAGAGGGGAGCGCACGATTCTGTTATCGCACGTTTTTTTTTTTTTTTTTTTTTTTTGTTTTTGTTTTTGTTATTGTGTGTGTGTGTGTTAAATGGAAGCACTCCTCGATTTGTGCGTGTCATCCTTGCGCAGGGGCCATGCCAATCTTCTCTGTATCGTTCCAATTTTAACGGATGATCCCCGAATGGAATCCATTCTGCTACCGCACCGTTTTGGGACCCCCCAACGCTGGCTGGAGTTCCTTTCTCCCCCGCCCTGCAGCAGCCCCCCCCTCGGCGCGGGGCCCGCGCCGCAGGACCGCGAGGCTTCGTGCCCCCT